CTCCTTGTGTTCCCGCCAAAAAGTACAGATAAATTTTAAGTACCTACAGTTCACGTATAGATTAGTTTGTATATTTAAACTGAAACGAGCTCTTGGTCTACGCTGGTGTAATGTGGTTACCGGAGCCTGCAGAAATTTTCGTCGTAATCGACGGGTTCGACGAGGACGGTGACCGGTGCTTGAGGTACCTAAAAGCACCGTTAATGGATCGGGAAGATCCGAAATGACGTGTTTAGGGCGATGTTGACTGTTTACCATTCGGTCCACAGGATCGGGTATGGCCGTGAGCTCACTTATCCGTTCGGGCGTAGCTGTAGCTCTTAGGCTACCAGCGAATAGGTAGGGGGAAAAACGATTTCGATATACGTAAGCTGGATTAATACCGAAAGAATGCTGCTTACCGTTCTGCTCGTGAATGCCTTAGTCGAGTTTCATGTCACCGTCGGATAACATCGACGTCATCGTGGCCTAATGGATAAGACAGCCAGGGTACTCGTATCGAGCGATGCGACCGTGCCGGTGTTCGAGTCCCGCAGGTAACCAGCCTGCCTATTTCTGCCGTGAAGGAATAATGCGTTTCGGCTTGAAGGATGCGGCAGCCGTTGTAACTATACCTGAGGCTTTAAAACTTATATCGCAGGGTGGGTGGCGCATTTACATTGTAGATGTTAATGGGATCCAGTAACCGCTTAACAACAAGTGGGCTGTGAGCTCGTCCACCCATCTAAGCAATAAAAAAAAGGTAAAAATTTTTTTTCAAAGAAGCACTTGGCATATCTTCGCGAATTACTTCCACTATGAAGGAAGGTTTAAATAATATCGTGTAGGTAATAAAAACCGAACCCGTTTTTTTTTGTCACATAAGTAATTACCAAACCATTGAGACGAAGACCTCAAGTCTCAAGATGGGCGGCGGCATTCGCGTCTTTATGTCTATGGGCTCCTGAAACTGTTACATATTCTTTAATTAAAACAATTGAAACAGACTCAAGATTCTCGATTAGAAAAGTTCAATCGTAAAATTTAATTGTAACAATTCAGATAATCGAATCTAGTAGCACATTCAAATCGTTCAAATCTTTGTTTCAATTGAGATGTGTATTTGTTTTTGAAGTGAAAACTTCTTTAGAATCGTTGTGATTAAAAACCGGATGCAACGGAAAAAACGACAGGTATGAGACACAAATACAAAAATGTGTAGGATGAAGCCAGCAAAGAATGAGACAGAAATATACATACTATTTAATACAGCGCCATCTGTGAGATTTTTTAATACTAACGTGTGTATGAAAGCTCTTGTAGTGAATTTTAATTTAGGATCATACGTGAAATTAAAATATCAATTCACAGAGGGCGTTACCTTACAATTATTTACTAATGACAAAATTTTACATATACTTAAGACGTTTAGGATAATTGTATTTTAATTTTGGAAGGTTTCACCTCTACCACGTGTGAATTGCACACATTTTGTTTTTTTTGTTTATTATTCCGCCGGATCGGTTAATTGGTTACTAGAGCTCATACTGTATAAGCTTTAGAAGTCTCGTAAATCCCGTTAAAAATCTACCATCTGTACATAAAGTTTGAATAATTTGTATCATCGTAACAATGATTTTGCCCCTGGCATTGCTGAAGTCCATGGGTGACGGTAACCACTCACCATCAGGTGAGCCGTATGCCCGTCTGCCTACTAAGGCAATAAAAAATAAATAAAAAATAAAGTAGCATTAATGAAAAGTACAAAAGATGGGATAAGCGCGTGAGTAAAAAAGATAGCTATCATTGGATATTGCATTTGTTTAGACGCGACTAAAGACGAAACGTCCCAATTGGCCTGTTTTCGAGTCTTCACTTGACGTGCGCTTGAAACATATCTGCTTCTTTTTACATATAAAATATCATTGAATCGTAATAAATATCATATCATCATAATATATTTTAAGTCGTCGTGGCCTAAAGGATAAGACGTCCGGTGCATTCGTGTTGAGCGATGCACCGGTGTTCGAATCCCAGGCGGGTACTCATTTTTCTAATGAAATAAGTACTTAACAAATGTTCACGATTGACTTCCACGGTGAAGGAATAACATCGTGTAATAAAAATGAAACCCGCAAAATTATAATTTGCGTAATTACTGGTGGTAGGATCTCTTGTCCTACCACTATTGCTTTGGTGGGTGAACGAAGTCACAGCCCACCTGGTGTTAAGTGGTTACCGGAGCCCATAGATATCTACAACGTAAATGCGTCACCCACCATGAGATATAAGTTCCAAAATCTCAGGTATGGTTATAACGGCTGCCCCACCCTTCAAACCGAAACGCATTACTGCTTCACGGCAGAAATAGGCGGGGTGGTGGTACCTACCCGTGCGGACTCACAAGAGGTCCTACCACCAGTAATTACGCAAATTATAATTTTGCGGGTTCACTAGCGGATTAATAAAAAAATAAAAAATTATGGTTGGTTCGAAGTATGTATTAGTTGAATGGAATATTTTAAATGTATTCAACTGATAATTATTTTTAATAATGTATTTTTTATTTGATTAAGTATGTTTCAATGATACTATGTACATATGAACTTGTTGTTGTCTGAAATAAAATAAATCATTCATTCACAATTCATTCATCATTAATTACTGGTGGCCCGGAGGCCTTTCCAGTTTCACCAGGAGCCTCAGCCAGGAGGGGAGGGATTTGCTAACAGCTGCCCGAGCGCCTCCGAAGGAGACCTAACAACTCAAGAGCTACTATTTCGCGGATAAATCTACTACTAGATCGGAATCGCGACCCGTTGAGATGCATGGGTTAGGTTGCACGTCGAACTCTTTGTCGAGTTCGACGAGTACGGTTACCGGGGTCCCTAAGCCTGCTCCTAGTGTTAGAGCTGAAGGCGGCGAATAACTCAAGACCAGCTGCTTCGCGAATGACTACATTAGTCTTATTTTTTATATGGTGCTTACTAAAACTACAAAATATAAAGATGTTTTGTTTTAGTCAGTTAGTTTTGATTAGTTAGTTACTGATACAATGACGTCTTTGATGACAGTAAAAATACTTGAAATTAAATAGTCAACGTAGTTTTAACTATGGGTTGTTTTTTTAATACGCTTTTATTAGCTTCAGACGTATGTTTGTTTGTAACGGAATCTTTGAACATGATTTTGACCCCCTTCAAAACGTCGGATTAACTCGAAATTTGGTATACTTATTAAGGACATCATATCTGTTCATAAAATATTTGTCATGCACCCCACTGTTTTTTTCACAATACCAAAGCATTTTTTCTTGCACTATTTTTTTTAATTTTTTTTTATTGCGTAGATGTGTGGACGAGCTCACAGCCCACCTGGTGTTAAGTAGTTACTGGAGCCCATAGACATCTACAACGTAAATGCGCCACACACCTTGAGATATAGTTCTAAGGTCTCAGTATAGTCACAACGGCTGCCCCACCCTTCAAACCGAAACGCATTACTGCTTCACGGCAGAAAATAGGCGGGGCGGTGGTACCTACCCGTGCGGACTCACAAGAGGTCCCACCACCAGTAGAAGGAGTTTTAGTTGGATTTTCTATAAAAGCGTATTTTGTTAGTTTTTTTTTTACACTACTATTTATTTTTGTTAATAACGCTGTACCTACTGATTATTTTCGAGACAAGAATAAAGTTCGTAATTAACTCGTAAAACTATCTATAATCAATCACGTTATACATTTGCTCCTCTCAACGAATTCAGAGAGGTTACATTTATTGACCTCTGAGAATTTAGGTCATTTCCTGAAGCCAGCTCACGGTTCGTGACCTTTAACAGACTTGCTGTTGTGTTCCGTGTTTGATATACGTATTCCTATCTTAATTTTCTCACTGAAGTAATTATGTCGGTATTTACGGGAGGCAGCGGCTAGGCTATGCCCCTGGCATTGCTGAAGTCCATGGGCGACGGTAACCACTCACCATCTAGTTGGCCGTATTCTCGTCTATCTACAATGGTAATAAAAAAAATCGATTTCTCTCTTAAATCTGCTTAGTTACTGGTGGTAGGACCTCTTGTGAGTACACACGGGTAGGTACCACCGCCCTGCCTATTTCTGCCGTGAAGCAGTAATGCGTTTCGGTTTCAAGGGCCGGGCAGGCGTTGTAACTATACTGAGACCTTACAACTTATATCTCAAGGTGGATGGCGGCTTTTACGTTGTAGATGTCTTTGGGCTCCGGTGGCGCTGGAATATCTATTAGACTCTGGGAACAAACGAATCCGAAGATACTGAGAATGAATCTATTTCTAAGAGAACTAAAATACTAAAACATACATTAACAAACAAAAGAAGGCAAAGTTAGACAATACAGGCGCCTTAGTGACAGAAATCGATATAATGACTTCAGGGCGCCGCGTAGGGCACCGGTGACCTACACGGCAGTCAACGTTTTAATTATAAATTTATAATTAATGTTAACTTTCGAAGCAAAATCTATCTTCTATCTATATAAATAAAAATGAATTGCTGTTCGTTAGTCTCGCTAAAACTCGAGAACGGCTGGACAGATTTGGCTAATTTTGGTCTTGAATTATTTGTGGAAATCCAGAGAAGGCTTAAAAGGTAAATAAATATGAAAATGATCGGAATTAAATAAAAATAACAATTTTGTTTTTCCTTTGATGTGTCCCTCGTCGGACGGATTCCTTTTGTTTGTTATAAGTTTATTTCATACAAAAGTTTAGGTCTTTTATTTATCGATTGAGGCACTATGAAGTCTTCCGGGTCATCTAATTACTTAATAAATATGTACAATTTGAGTAATTTCAAAGAGTATCCATAATATGAACAAACTTCAATCAATATTCTTAATACACACAGAGGCTTAAGGAAAATCTTTATTTATTGCCAAGCTTACTTATGTCTATGGAATATTTCCCCCAAATTCCAATCAATCACTGTTTCATATAATTTTAAATTATCAAATAGACAATTTACATTTATTTTTTTTTGTTTCAGGAGGAAAATGTTATAAGAAACAAATAGACCGGCAGACTAAACCAATACTATTATTAAAAAAAATTAAAAAGTAAAACCGCGAAAACCAAACGCGAACGAATCGAACTTCACTCAATCATAAATGTTGCCATCGGAAAAATAACATATTAACCCCGACGCTGCGAAAAAACGACAACGAACAAGGACAGAGCTATACGCGCGAGCGGGATAGCTAGCTGCGTCCCGAAATAGTGCATTCGGAAATAGAAAAAAAAAATGCTCAGCTCGCAGTCAGCGTCCGAAAGTGAGGCGTCAGAGTCGCGCGCTTCCTCATGGAAACCATGGACAGCTATGGCAGACCTAGCTGAAGCAGTCGACGACCTCATCTGCAGTTTCGACTACATGGACACAGCTATGGACAACCTGGTCATGTTGGTGTTCATTTGGATGGTGCTGTCCATAGCGATCATCGCGATCGCCAAATGGGCGTACGGGAGGTTCGCTAAAAAGACGACGGACGCTGATAAACCAAAAATCGATGAGACGAAGAAAACAACGAACGAAATAGTATCCAGTGCTGATAGTGTGCTCGCTACCAGTGCTAAAGTTAAGAGTGCCTCATTCAAGCCGACTAAAGCGACGGGCTTCGTGCCCGCCACTCCACCGAACAAGAAGAGGTTGGGGCGCATGTCCCCGGGACCAGAGCAGTTGACCGTCAAAAAGCATCAGTCAGTGTCTGTGCCCACATGCACGGGCGGAGATCAGCCGAGCGTGCAATGGGTGAACGATGTACTGACGTGGCTCTACAACGATCTAGTTATCGTCAACGAACTCGTGCAGCAATGGATCTCGTCCATGAACGAGTTCTCGAAGAAATCCGTCGAGGAGGTGAGTTCTGTTTTCGGTATCTATGTATCCCTACTAATAATACCTATATACATAAATGTGAATGTAAGTTTGTTTGTTACGCTTTCACGCGAAAACTACTCAACCGATCATCATGAAACTTTGTACACATATTCTTTGAGGTATTAGAAGTAACATAGGATACTTTTTATTAAGAAAAATTTTTTTTTTTTACAAAAAATGAAAAAAATGTTTTTCAAAAAATCTCAAAATCTAGCTTCTTCAACGCCATCTACCGGTTCAGTAATGAAGTTCCAATCCTGAGTACTGTAAATGAAGTCGCGGGTAAAATTTAGTGTTATACCAAAGTAACTATTCCACGCGGACGAAGTCGCGGGCAAAAGCTAGTATATAATAAATTAATACGTGAAGCAGAAACTTTGTACCCATTTTTAATAAAATTGCGCGGACGGAGTACTATGAAACTTCTCACACTTATCTATACCTCTACACTAATACTAGCGACTCGCCCTCGCTTCGCTTCGGAAACTATAATTTATTATTGATTTCTCCACTATTTAATGGATGTTATTATACATGTAAACCTTACTCTTCAATCACTCTATCTATTAAAAATACCACATCAAAATCCGTTGCGTAGTTTTAAAGATTTAAGCATACATAAGGATATAGGGACAGAGAAAGCGACTTTGTTTTATACTAAGTATGTAGTGATTATAAAGAGGAAAGATTTGTTTGTTTGTTTGTATTGAATAGGCTCCGAAACTACTGAACCGATTTAAAAAATATTTCACTGTTTTGAAGCTAGACTATTCCCGAGTGACATAGGATATAATCTTTTTTGAAAAAAATTAGGGATCCTCATTAAAACTCCAATAATGTAACCCAAGGTGTAAAAAAATTACCTAAACTATTCTTTACATCGCGTGCCCTGCGAAAACTATTGATGATAGAATAAAATAATGTATTACGATTTTCTAGAACACATTATTACTTATATTAAGTGTGGCGACAGCATATGTCTACCTATTATAGTTATGCCGCAATATGTGTTCTTTTATTACAAAAAAAACAACGTCAAATATCGTTGAAATTTTTGTTAAGGACCCGAGCGGAGCCGGAGCGAGCCGCTAGTAGAGAATATAGAGAAGGAGTTCAGAATGTTAATATTTTTTTTAATTATGCACAAAAAATACTTTAAATCAATAAAAAAAAACATTACATACGCTACCACGTATTTGACACACACACGCATGCATACTATTTGTTTATTGTCAAACTTTCCTTATTGCTTATAGTCTGTGGTCAAATTGAGAATAAATTAAATATTGTTTGTCTATATTAATATTTGTCTAAAGTGTAGTCTTGGCGAAATCTGTAATTATAGAAGTATAATAAGTCTTTGATAATAGAATCATAATAGTGTACAAACTTATAATTTCAATTAATTTTATTATAGTCGAATTTTGACTACCGGTGGACCACTAACTTTTAATAATCGACGAAAATTGGCAAAGGCATGTTCGGTATCGATGTTTGAATTTAATGGTAAACCCAGCAAATTGTGTTGCAAAATATCTTTTTGACATGACAATATGTGGTCGGACGTGGGGAAACTCCAGCTCAGATGTTGAATGAATCAAAGCGTCCCTGAACTCTCCCAATATCTTTTTCGGGATCCTTATAGATGATAATATTATAACGTTGTCCTGATAGAAGACAACTAGTTTCCTATTGATCAATATCGGCCAGATTCATTTTAAGCATCTAAATTTTTGTAACCAAAATTGAACACGCTTCTATCGGGAGTGCATTATGATAATATATGCGTCGAGTAATATCCGAAATTTACTTTTTAAACGCAAATTCTCTCTTAGAAATGAAGATATCATTCATAAAATTCGAGATTCGAACTCATTACGTAAACCAAACATTTCAAATGTCAAATGTAAATAAACTTTACTAAAGGACAAAACTAGAGTTGATGGCAAAGCAAATATACGTATAACTAGCGACCAGGCCTCGCTTCGCTTCGGAAATATTAAATTTTATTATTGATAGCTGAGTCCCGCGATGTTACCCGCGGTTATTGTCGCAGCGCAGGTGACGCCGCGGAGCGAAGCTAGTCTGAAAAATGTAGCCTAAGTTATTCCTTATATCATCAGCTATCTATCAGTGAAAGTCTCGCCAAAATCGGTCCAGCTGTTCCAGAGATTAGCCGGACAAACAGACAGACAGACAAAAATTGCAAAAAATGTTATTTTGGCGTATGTACCGTATATAATATATTCGCATGTAGTAAAAGGCGGTTATTTCAATATTACAAACAGACACTCCAATTTTATTTATATGTATAGATATAAAAATCGTTAACAGGAAAAATATTGCTTTCCGAAAAGACTTTTTGTTAGCTATAAATAACAATAACAAGTTATTATGATAATATCCTTAACTAATTTAAGGGTATCAACAAAATGATTCCAAAAATATCAATTAAATTAACTTTTTGTTTCAATGAATACATGAGTAGATTTTATAGATTAGCTTTAGAAAGTACATTTTTTTTATTGCCCTTGTAGGCAGACGAGCATACGGCCCACCTGATGGTGAGTGCTTACCGTCGCCCATGGACTTAAGCAATGCATGGCAGAGCCAAGCCGCTGCCTACCGCTTAATACTATTTAATACACATATTTAATATTACATACATATTTAATTATAAAAAACTTTCTTTTTCTACTTTTTTTTTTTAATGAATATTGTTTTGGCAACATCTTCCTTTAGCGCAACTACCTCACTTGTTAGAACGTTACGATTTATTACGCTCACAATCTTATAACTACCGTGTCCGAAGTCAATGGAAGGTTTTTTACTATTGTACTATGAGACTGGGCATTGGCAAATGTGTATGATTGTATTTATGGCTCAAATTGATGAGATAACTTCCTTGGGCAATTGCTAGTAGACCTTAAGAAGTAGATTGAGACTGGCGAATTATTTTATTTGAATACCATTTGTTATCTATATTACGCGAAGCAAAAACTTTGTATCCCTTTTTACGAAAATTGCGCGGACGGAGGAGTATGAAATTTTCCACACTTATAGAGAATATAGAGAAAAAGTGCACAATGCTAATATTTTTTTTTTAAATAATGCATAAAAGATACATTAAATCAATAAAGAAAACATTACACACACTATATACCATGTATGACGCACACACGCATGCATATTATTTATGTTGTTCTTGACGTCTGTTGTCAAATTGAGAATAGATTAAATGTTGAGAAAATTTCTATTTATTTAAAAAAAAAAAAATATTTGAGCAAAAACAAAAAAAAAAGCTCGCTGAGTTTGTTTCGCCGGTTCTTCTCAGGACTGTGGCTTTTTTTGGAACCGGTGGTAGAGTTAACATTGTTATTTGTATTTTGACATTCAACAAGTGTGTCATACTGACATCTAAGTTGAAATAAATGATTTTGAATTTGAATTTGAATTTGTTGTTTGTCTTTGTTAATATTTTTTATAGTGTAGTCTTGGCGAAATTTGTGATTATAGAAGTATAAAATACAATAATAATAGTGTACAAACTTACAATTCCAATTAATTATAGTCGAATTTCGACTACTGCGGGACCTCTAGTTTAAATAAATGCATCGAATATCACTTTAAAATCTACAATGACATCTTCGTATGCTTATCCAAAAACAAGGAAAATGTAAAATAAAAACATTGTTTGTCCTTAAAACTAATAAGTTTTGTATTAGTGTATAAACTGTAAGCAAACCTGGAGGTTGATTTCAATAAAAAATTGTTAAAGTAAAGGCGGATAGATTTTGTGAATAATTGAATATTGAAAATTAAAGACGACATCTCACTAAGCAATCGATTTTATTAAATAAGCTGGCTTAAAGGTCCAGGTACCAATATATAAAATCTTTAAAAAAAAAAATGCTCTGTACTTATAAAGGTTATGTTACAATGTACATTCATTTCGGAAAATACGTTTGAACACGAATCGAATCCAATGTGCACTCTCACACACGTCTTTATTTACAAGAATCACGTTTTAGTGAGGTAGGCAGGATAACCTTGCATTATTTTTAGTTTTTGATTTTAAACAATTCAAGATCATGATAACGAAAGCTTTAGAAAACGAAAAATGTTCTTTTTTAAATATGATTAGTAAAATACCTTTGATTAATTATCAGCGTGTTATCTCTGACCACGGGAACTGTGAATATTCAAAAATTTAAATAATAAAAGACACGATAAACAAACCAAAAATGTTTAAATAAGCTTTTAAAAACTTCAGCTGACCAACAGAATAATATTTCGCTTCATACTTCATTGTAATATCTAAAGAAATTCGCGCCGAAAATTTCAACCTCTTAAATTCGCTTACACGTCAAGGCAAAGGTTTTATGTATGCACAGCCACGTTACAGCCTAATTGATTACGTTTGACTTACGAATTCAAAACATTAACATTAATGAGTCACGCTATCTCTGTAGACACGCCGCTATATTATTTTATTTACAAATCTCCGTCAGCCGAGACAGGAATCTATTTTTATTCACTTTAAATTTCACCTCAAGCGGTGCTCTGGGAAGAAACAGCTTCATCTCAGCTCTGAGCAAATTTTTGTCTTTGGTTTTCTTTTCAGAACGAATTAAAAAAAGAACATTTAACGTATGCCTCATCATACAGATTCGTTCGAGCGAATGTTTCTTGAAAGCTAAAGTATGGATGAGTTTTAAATGCTTTTGGAAGCGAAATAATGCGGTGCCTATGTAACAGTGATGGTCACCGCTGCTCAAAACATCAGCTATCACATGCGGACTGTCAAGCCACTGCTTACAGCTAAAGACTGATCCAACCACTTTAAAAACATGAATATGTTACATTGCGAATAACCTTGCGAGATTATTCCGTGACCGGAATAATTGCATGGCAAAAACAAAATGCAACTATGAACATTGCAGCTCTATATACATGTCCGTGGACTTTATACAGACATA